AAAGAAATGATTATATCTGCATTAAAGAACTTTTAAATAATCCATGTAATAATAAATTCATTTTAAAGTACAATGTATAGAAAAATTAAATGGTCAACCTCTAGAACTCAGGGTGTGATAAAACCTCTATTTGTTCAGTATTAGGGTGGCTTGAGTCAGCCTGGAAGAAAGATAAACTGACAGAATACAGAACACAGAAGAGGGTTAGATGTCTCAATGCCAAATGGTGAGTAGCTGATTTCCCTGAAATACCTACCCATCTAACACAGCTTTTCAAGTAAAAGCCCAAAGTATGACATAATCAGTGGATGCTAAAAATTTGTTAATTATACCCCCGCTCTGAAGGAGAGGGGGGTATACTGTTTTGCCCTTGTGTGTCTGTGTGTCTGTCCGTCCGTGTGTCTGTCCATAACAAACTTTCGTCGCAGTTTTCTCAGCAACTACTTATTGTAGATGCTTGAAATTTTAACACAATCTTCTCTGAGGCATGCCATATGGTGGGATACATTTTTGTTTAAATCCGATCTCAACTTCCTGTTTGTGTGTCTGTCAGTTTCATTTATAATAAATTTTTGATAGTTTTCTCAGCAACTACTCATTACAGATGCTTGAAATTTTAACATAATCTTTCCTGAGGCATGTCATATGGTGGGATACATTTTTGTTCAAATCCAATGTCAACTTCCTGTTTGTCTTTGCTTCTGTTCGTTTCATATATAACAATTATTCGTTGCAGTTTTCTCAGCAACTACTCATCGCAGATGCTTGAAATTTTAACACAATCTTTCCTACGGCATGCCATATGGTGGGATACATTTTTGTTCAAATTCGATGTCAACTTCCTGTTTGTCTGTGCGTCTGTCTATTTCATACATAACAAATTGTCACAGTTTTCTCATTAACTATTCATAGCAGATGCTTAATTTTAGTACACTCTTTGTTGAGGCATGCCATATGGTGGAATTAATTTTGATATGAATCTGATGTTGACTTCAAATTTTTCTGTGCATCTGCCTGTAATTGAACTTGTGTATATTAACATGATAGTGTGTATTTACGTCAGAGCGGGGGTATTACTAGTGAGCATTGGCTCACAGATTTCTTGTTAAAGCCTGGTATTAAATATCATCATTCTTAAAAGAACACAGGTTTCTTCTTTAAAATTGTTCAGGAAATGAAAATTTCTACAAAGCAATAGAATTTATATGTAATATTTTATATCACATTATTTTATTTCTGTTTTATTTTCAGTTTTTGCAGTTCTGTTGTCTCCTTTGTAGTATTCTCCATTGTTTTTGGTGTCTCAATGTTAGACCCACAGGTAAATCCAACCAAACACTCTCACTTGTATTATAATAAAAATAGTCACCAATTTGTAAATTAGGTGAAAGGAAAAATAAGTTTTTTCTGAAAAAAATTATATAAATTTTAATATTATATTATAATTATTGTCTACCAACTTGTAAATTCGACTGTATCCTAATTATGGTCTACCAATTTGTAAATTCAGCTAATAAAAAGGAAAAATACGTTTTTTCTACAAACATTATAAATTCAAATGGACGTCAGTACTTCATCAAAAAAATGGACACTATTTTCATCTTTAGTTTAAAATTTATCTACATTGTTGTTTCTTTTCTTTTCAGGGCTTTGTAGAAATATTGGAAAAATTCTCTTCCTTTACTATCAACATAGAAGTAGCTTTATTTATATTTTTAATGTGCTTTAATGCCAGGAGGAAAGAAAATCTGTATGTATACAATTACTGATGAACAAAATTCAAAACATTCGTAATTCCCATGGTTAAAAATAAACTAGACTTCTTTAATATCCATTGAACATCATTATTTATAATTATTTTAGGAAGCAGCAGATACCGTTACCGATCCCGTCCCTGTTTGGATATCTACTGTACCTGGTTCCGCTGTACTTTGGTTTTGCTGTGATATACGACGTGGGATTATCTATATATGGCATAGTGAGTGAACACTCATCTCAGGCTGACCACAGGATCTCAAACCAAACTTCTACCTTCCCTTTAACCTCTGTGGTGACTACTTCTTCCATGCTTATCAATAATTTATCAACAGTCACACATGTACCCTTTGTTACATCTACAAGTATAGGGGAATATATAAAAAATGTGTTTAATAACTCAGAAACATGAAGCACTTTGATAAGTGTTAGTGTCTTTTCTAGTCAGAAATTGTGATGTACTTAACTTAAATGTTTAAATGATGCTAAAAGCTTATAATGTACTTATTTTTAAATTAGGTGTATTGATGATTTGTATAGTTAACTACATATGCAGTGTTGTAGTTAGCAGTATATTACTTTAAAATGAAAGAACTGGTTGAGAAAATTCAGAGAAAGATTTTCTCAACATTATCACAGCCATTAAACTCAGGTGAGCAATGTAATTTAAGAGCATCTATTTTGTTGAACTGTATGTGATTTTATAAGAAATGTGCATACACTGAACATAATATATAAATTTTCAAAAAGATGTACTTGACTGATTAAGTACTTAGATACAAGATATGAAAATCTATAGAAAAATATATTAAAAGAAAAAATTGTATTTATTTCCAGATCTGTTTGAAATATTAAAATTATCAGATATTTTTTTAACTTTTCTCCTTTTTTATCCATGTCTAAGAAAATAAATATGAAAACAATCAAATTCAAAGAATTGTGGGTAAAATGTCATTTTTTATGGCATATTGTGTCAAATATGAACGCCTTTTCATTTGTCATTCAGAGGTTATCACCGAAGTTAATTTTTTTTTTTTTTGCTCCCCCCCCCCCCTTTTATTGACATTTGCTACAAATCGTATGAAAATGGCGTATTTGGTTACAATTAAGCTTAATTTGCAAAATTGATATCTTTGTTTCATCAACTTGTTTGTTATTAGATGCCTCCTTCTGGAAACTGTTGGTACAGTACGTACATGTATACATATATACTCTTGCGTATTGAATCAATTTGGAGAAATAAATCTTTATATGCATAAGTGCAGGCGGTAAGAATTAAGAGAAGTTGACGTTTATGATTATGTTTTGCAGATATTAGTAACTAGATAATCATTAATTAACGTCTTTTTCCAGGAAAAATATCCAAATTAACATCAAACAGTGTCAATCTTTGTGCGTGATAATTCATATCGAATCAAGGTGACCGGGGGGATGTAGATTTCTTCAAGTAATAAAGTCTGCGCCAAAGACAATTAGAAAGTACACTAGGTCTGCTAATAATCACAGGCACCAAGCGCTGGGTTGAATATTTGTCCATATATTTCCAAATTTCCACGACACTCACAAAATTCAACCCCAGCGCTTGTTGGCCACATTTTGTATATTTCTTCATTAATTACATTAAATTATTTAACACTTATATCACCATTAATACCAAGAAAAAATTGGAAAACCCTCAAAATAACCATTACGCACAAAACTATTGCTTTTTTACACGATTTTATTTATCTAACTCATTCATTTCCCACCTAGCTTTTAAAATAAAAGGACTTGGTAGAAAGATGTTTTAAAGACCATTATAATCACTAAACAATTCCATGGCATTATTGGCATATAATTGTAAATAAATAGAAGTTAGTGTCCCATTACTTCTAAAATTGCATTAAACAGTGTTTAAAAGAAAAGGATTCATTTGGTGTTGAAAAAAAAGGGGGGGGGGTAAAAAAAATTGTTGTGTATTGAAATCGGGCTCGATGTTCAATTTGTTCCGGCTACTTTCAATTTGCATGTAAACACTGAAATAGATCATGGAAGCAGATGGTATAGTAATGTCTCTTCCCGTGGATTTTCTCTATCAGGCATTGAAATCCGGATTTAATGATATCCGATGGACCTGTCTTTTTAATACTCATTCATGTTATGTGGAAACGAGAGTTCAGAAGACAAATTCTCAACAAACATTACGTTTGTCTGTAAGTAAATCAGGAAAGAGAGTTGACTTTTCTAATGCCTTGGAAATAAATATAACGAACGTTCAAAAAGATGAGAATCAGTTTGTTGATCAAGTCAATAAACATCAAGGATGTCACGTGGACACAGAGATATTGAATCCTCCAGGAACACCCACTCCTCCAGATAACCCAAACCAGATTCTAAAGAGAAAACGAGGTAGGCCAAGAAAATCTGCTTCTGATGAAGGAAAACCGAACATTGTGCAACAAGAAACAGAGGGCAATAGGTACAGTTTACGTGGAGTGAAAATTTCCGAGTCCATTATGAATGCTGAAAAGGGGATCGAGAGTAATAGAAATGACAAAGATTACATTGTGATCCTCCCATCAGATTGGAGTGAAGATACAGTGGATACTTTAGATCAAGCTGCCATTGACACTGAAAACCTAAATACCTTGAAAATATTTGAAAGTGAAGACTTAAGGTTAACCGTAAAGGAAAATGTTAGCAATAAATCCGAAGATGTGCACAATATAAATCAAAACGAATCACTTGTTCAAGAATTTTCAGACAAACTATCCAGTGAACCTGCAAAATCTATTGATTCAGGGAAGATTACGAACAAACTAACTCAAGAGAGCAATGAAAAACCACAAAGTGATGTTGATGGTCAAAATGATTTTTCCAAGTCCAAACCTTATACCTGCCATCAATGTGAAAAGTCATACAAGAATTTTCAAACCTTGAGGAATCATATCAGATATGTTCACAAAATAACAGGTCAAAAAAACCATTGCAAACTTTGCCCTGCCAAATTCAAACATTCATCTGTGTTAAAGCAACACTGTGATGAAATCCATAACAAGAAAATTAACTTTACATGTACAGTATGCAAAAAGGAGTTTGCCAGGAGGAACCAATACAACAGACACATGCTCTCCCACGGGGGTGATAAATCGAGACTTTTAAATTGTCCGCACTGTGAGAAGGGATTCTGGTTTAAGTACAATCTTACAAGACATATTGAACTAGTACACAAGCCCTCTGTGGAGAACTTTCATTGCTCCTACTGCGGAAAGGGTTTCAATCTCAAGGCAGCCATGGTTTCTCATGTACAACATGTTCACTTCAATATTTTTCCATTCCAGTGCAGTGTTGATGGCTGTAAGATGGGGTTTTCTAGACAGAGGCTGCTTCTGGAACACATGCAGCAGTCTCACTCTGACGTAACATACAAACCGCCTCAGTTATCCAGAGGAAGATATAAGTACGGGAGGACCGACGAGGATTTGTTTTTCTGTTCTCACTGCAGAGTCAGCTTCTGTTACAAAGCTAAGCTGGTGGAACACATGCACTTCGCTCACAATGACTCCTTCCCATACATCTGTGATCAGTGTTCTCAAGGGTTTGTGGAGAAATCTTTCTTGTTACATCATCTCAAGTACGCTCACCACCAGAATATAGAGAACAAAGAAATCCAGGAGGCAAAGGAGACCGTTGAAGAATTGGAAGCATTGACAGAAGAGAGGGACGTCAACTGTAAGATTATCATGGTGGATGAAGAGGGAGAAGTCCTTCAGATCTGTCAACCTATCGCCAAAGACACCACCGCTACATTAGAGGTACCTCTCCACTGATTCATAATCAATTCATAAATTATATTAATAATGTAAGTAAGCAAGAAAGTAAGTCTGATATTCATGTACATATAATTATTTTACCTCAGCTGGGCTCAGAGTATGTTTTCATAATTGTTGATATTTTTATATACAATTGCATTTACATGTAATTGTATTTCATTTCAGATGCCAGGGACACTAACAAATGCTGAAGAGACTGTAACCTTGTCGTATTCCATGACGTCCGATAATCAACAGGAAACAGTTCAGTATATAATTCAGCCCGACTCTGATCAAACGGCAGTCATCCCTCAGGAAATAGCAGACATCCTTCTGTCTGGTGGCCAAACAATAATCACCCATCAAGCCAACAAAGGCTCAGAAACTAGTGACATCACTAGTGACATCACAGATGTAAATGAACAAGATGACATCACAGACTCAGCAGACAGTTCAGACTTTGTTGTTGCAAGTGATCCGATGGAATAAGAATTGTCAAACAAAATTCACGGTTTTATTGATGAAAATCAAGTTGAACTCCACAAGATCTGGAGCTGTTTGGATACTATACAAGGAGCCTCCTGTTACATTATTACTGTATCACAGTGTATAAGTTATGTAGATTGTGAAAATATTCACCAGTAAATGAATATTAATGATCCTGTTGAGTTTTTGCGATGAAATATTAAATTAACAAAAATCTTTTTGTTCCCTTTCATGGTAGGTAATCATTCTTCTGAAGACATGGGGTACTTTTTTATGCATTTAAATTAATTCATAATTAAATTTAATCTGGATCACCTTTGCCCTAAGTTGAAAAGCTTTCTAAAAGATATCTCTAGATTTTTTTCATCTTTCATAGCTGCAATAATGTAGCCCTCTCCTTTTTTTATACCCCCCGCTTGAAAAAAGGGAGGGTATACTGTAATCGGTATGTCCGTCTGTCTGTACGTCTAGCTGTCTATACGTCCATCCGTCTGTTACGCTTTAGGGTATTCATCTCTTATTGGCAACTCCTCTTATACCACTGAGTGAAATTTAATGAAACTTTCACAGAATCTTTATTACATATTGCCATTGTGCACCTCATACATGTTAACCTATTGTGATGAAAAAGAGGGAGATTCAGACCTCAAAAGCGGTAGCGTTGCGCGCGTGTTGTTTAACGCTTGGATTATCGATATCTTTCATGTTATAAGCCTTAAATGAAATCAGGTACCTACACTAATTAATCTTAAATATCAATAGCAAAGAAGGAGACAGAAACACCTTAAGTTTGACATAAATTGTACAAATTCAAATATTTTTCATGCTTATCATTTTGCTTGGATTGGCTGCTTTACTTAGCCTTTTGAAGAGTGATCTTTGCTGAAATAGCCTAGAGGCAATTATTCTGAATGTTCATTCAGTTTTTAATCAAAACAAATGATGGCATGGTTTAATCTAGATCTAAAACAAGTTCGTATCTTTCGTTATATAAATCAGATTTCCCGCGATGATCGAAAACGAAAGTAGAGATGTGCCACATGGCTTGGTCAATCGAGTGATTTCTATTGACTTTATTGATAAAGTTGTGAGCTTCTGTGCTTTTAAAGACGATGTCAAATGTTTTCATCTAATTCTTAAAAGCTGTATCTCCTTTTTCATGGCAGGGATGTTGTTTAATTTATCGTAACCAATGTAATCACTGGTAGGCTTATGTTGTTGTCGTTGTCAAATCCGTGCTTGAAATCTATGTTACCTGTTAAAAAATATAAAAAGCAATGAAGAGGCAAAACACTGGAAACAGAAAGTAAAGAAGCAAATATCTGACTACTGGCAAATCAAAAATGAAATTGAAATCTCAGAAAAAGTTTCCCTGCAACATCTGAAATTACAGACCAACTCATGCAGACGACCTCATCCATTATGGCAGTCAAGTACGTTTTCACCGAAGGCATCAAATAAGGCCATTGTCAAAGCTCAACTCGTAACAAATACCTACCGCTTACAGGACAATATTAATAAATTTAACCAACACAAAGTGAAAAACGACTGCTTGTTATGTAGAGAGACCACAGAGGACAGATTACACTTTTTACTAAAATGTCCCACCTTAGATTCTATTAGACAGCCGTATCTGATGAAAATAGGTCATTACCTGCAAGAAAAAATTGGCACACAGGAATCAAATTCATACTTATTGGAGGACACTAGATTGCTACAGATTATTATCGACCCCTCCTACTTCACATTTTCAGAGATTCCATCCAGAAACAACAAAATTCAGATATTCATTGAGAACCTGAGCCGCAACATGATATTTGCTCTACACTGCCATAGAGCTCAAATTATTAAAAAAATTAGTACACAGTCTACAACCAACAGACCTTAATATTTTTCCTTTGTTTTTTTTTGGTAAAGAGGAATATAAAATTATTTTTAGAGTTAAAATAATTTTTTTAATTAGAAACAGTCATGGAAACGGTGTAAGGTTCTTTTTAATTGTGGCTTTCTTTTTTTAAAGAACTTTTAGGGCCGAAACAATTTTACTTTAGGAGTTAAGCTACTGTATAGTATGTAAATTCTTGTTTTATTTTTAGTTGGTCTTTCACCTCTAACTTTATTTTACAGCACTACATAGAATAGATTTTACTAACTGTCTTTTCCTCACTTTATCTCTTTTATTTTTTAATTTTTATGCCTTTTATGAAACAACCTTCTCGGGTGCTCCTTATACATAGGAGGGAAATCCACAACTGAACTGAACTATGTACAAAAAAAGCGTTTGTATGATTCCGAGTCAAATCACGCGATATCTAGCGAGATTTAATGAGAGTGGCTTCAAAAATGGATACCCAAGCGAACCAAAAATACTTCAGACGCAGCTTTTGTAGAAAAGCGGTAGATTTCTAAATTAAATCGGTAGGCGGGAGATGGAGTGAAAAAGCGGTAGACTCCCGCCTAAATCGGGAGAGTTAACATGTATGGCACCTCCTATTTTACTTTTTGTTCCAACACATATTTTGGGTTTCCCGGCCACAGCAAAACATGGACTTTATCATCAGTTATAACCATATGGGAGGCGGGGGGTATCATTTAGTGAGGTCATTGCTCACAGTACCTCTAGTTATTTTTCGGAGAAAACATCAGATAAAAAAATTAGAGAGGGCTACATTATTGCAGCTACATCTTTCAGTAAAGCACAGAAGTTTGTGTACCTATCAATTTTACTGATTTTTTTAGTAAATTAAAAGAATATGTAATACTCCTATAATAATAAAAATGTGATTACAGGTATTACGTTTTTTTTTTTTAAATTTACTGAAAATTTCGGTAAAATTGATAGGTACGCAAACTCCTGCGATTATAGTGAAGCTCTCTCCTTTTTCTCTCTCTGTTTGTCTGTCTCACTCTGGCAGCTTGTAACTTCATACAACATTGAAATCAACTTTGATTTACCTGTAAAATTTAATGCCACGTATGAGTATTCTGGTGACCTAGATTTAAATCTTATTTGATACTTGGATCAAATTGTGTACCCTACTGAGCTATTCCCCTTCTATAATGATGTATGGTACTCCCCTAGCTATTCTGGTATTCCCCCTCAACCCTGCTAGGAGAGGAACCCCAGACACCCTCTATTTCAAATCTTAGGAACAACCGTACCAAATCAAACATAAACTAAATACAATTTCATTTAAAAAAAGAAAATGGACATAGAGCAACAATTTATTCGGCAACAATATTAAAAGCAGCCACAAGTTAAAGTCATCAACAATTTCTGCATATAAACTGATATATCACAACACAGCAGCCCGATATCCATAAAATCTGTATAAATAAGTCAACTGGCAGTATGACATGAAGCTGTGTGGGATTTCATCAAGCGAGGGTATAAATGTTAGAGTACAGTTTCTTCCCTTTGATCATGTGACGTCGAGATCAGCCAATCCAAGGTGATTCGGGTCTTTCCACGCCCACGATAAACAGTAATGACCTAACAGCTGCTCCAGAAGTTCTTTTTCATCCATGAATTCTAACTTCTCTATCCTGTAGGAAAAAGAAGCAAATTTTAACCTTTTCACATTAGAACCTGCAATGGGAATATTTTCAGTCGAGTACTATCTTTTGTTAATAATTATACATTACATTTTATAAAATAAATGAGTGAAATTTGCTACATTTTTCCCTGGTTTTATTTTTGTCTTCTTTTTTTCACTAGTTAACTTTCCCCACCTTTTAATTTCCAAATATTAAATGAAAGATCTGTAGATTTTTGGTTGAACTGACCTGTGAACATCGGCCTGAGGCAGACACTTGTAGACCTGTAGCATGTCCATAGCATCAGCTCCCTCCCAACCAACATCAAGAAACCTAAAATTATACAGACAACTGGTTCTTAAATGTTAGAAATTTTAAATAATAACTAAAATTTATTTTGTTTACAAATAATTTATTTTTTTGTAATTTAAAGAGCTTCTCAGTACAAACCTGGGTTTATTAAAATTTTAATTTGTATGTGAAATAATTCTGACCATTAACAAAAAAACCCCCAATAGTTGGATGACTGAATTGACATGGTAGAATGAAATGCTTACCTGTGCCTTTGTGTCTCCAGACTTTTACAAGCCTCTACTCCAGCCAGAAAACATTCTCGAGACTTCAAGTTTTCTATCATTATGTCCCCAAAGCGATCTGCCATGTTCACCTATTACAGAAAAAAAGTCACTTTTTTTATACCTTAGAAATTTCCTGTATACATTGCACATTTGGTCGGTGAGATGTTACAAAGAAGCTAGCAATAACTAATGAAATATAATAAGTGATGGAACAAATCAGTATGTGTCTAGTACATTTTCTTTGTACAGTAGTTGTTTGTCTATAGAATATTTAAAATCAATTCTGACCTGTTCATAATTTATAAACATGGCAACCGGAAACTGTTCTGCAATCCATTTCAGCAGTTCTTTCGTTTTGTTAAATTCGATGTAAACCAGAACACACTCTGCCATAAACAGAGTTGGTAATGTTTTATCGATTCCAGATTCCTGTAGCTTCTTCTCCACTTGTGACAAAATTGACAAATCGGCATCTACAAGATGGTAATCACTCCCATGGATTTCCGACTTGCTTAATCTTATATCCCCATCTAAAACAAAGAAAAAATAATAAAACATATTTATATTTATAAAGGTTACTATCTGAAGCTTAGAGTCATGGACTGGGAAAGACTGACAACTAGTGCAAAGAATTGCTTCACAATTTAATACCAATAGTGATGTTAATCTGAGCTCGTTAAATCATCAGCATTTCCATCACCTTACATTTGTCTACCATAAAATAATGCTGGCTTTCAGAGTATCGGGTACTGGGAACGGTCAGTCCATGTGCCCCATTAAGAAAAAAAACTAAAGGTCTGAGGAGCAAGATGCTCAAATCAATCATTTATGATGACAAAGTTTGCAATATATTAACTGTGGTAGATACGTCTTGACACTGTTCATTGAAAAATTTTTGACTGGCGTATTGCCTTGTATTTTATCACTAATTAATGTATTTCTCGACCTCATTGTTATACCTTCTGAAGCAATTATTTGGAGAAGAGCTTCATGGCGTTTTATCTGGTTAACTTTCCTTGCTGTCACTGATTTAAAGTCTAGTTCAATGAAGGATTTGGGATACATATCCATGTCTTTCAACAACCAGTAGTTTGTGTCTGATCCTGCACCAAAGTTGACAACTTGGCAATTCCTATCTGTTATCTGAAAAATAAATTTACTCCAAATTAAGCCTAACATAGCAAAAAAAATTATATATCTTTAAAATTTATGCTTATGGTACAAACTTTATATATATATGTATAAATTATATATATTTGTATGTAACCCCGACTGATTTCAGGTGCATGTTTTGCCGAGCTTCTTGGCGTCATAAGAGAAATATATGGATCCGCCCAATACTTCTTCTCTACTGCAAAACGCTTACACTGAGCTGCATCATCATTTGTTAAAATGACACCGTCGTCACTAGCCATAATCAGGTTGGGCACACACCGCCAAATGGTCATTTAACCCCCGTTTGGTGGTCATTCGCCCATATCGGCGTCTTTATTAACCACCAAATGGGAGAGAAAAATCGTTCTGTAAAGGTTATGGAAATGACGTGAAATGGCGCATAATTTCAACTCACGGGGAATAAAATATAGATATTGCAAAGAATGTACTCTGAACGAAAAAAATTAAAAGAGCGGACTTTTTTGCGCAGTGTCGTTCAAATAATTGACAAAATCGTCACCTATGTAAACAAATGTAACGTTTCTCTGTTTTAACTTTAAAAGAAAAATTCCCTCCGTCTCGCGCGTGGATGAGCCTATTAATCGTGTTGATCACTTCATATTTCTGTCATCCGGGCAACCGATCAATTATCTAAACCAATCAAAAAAATCTTTTCCAAACTTGGGTCAAAAGACTGAATTAACTACATGATGACAAAGTGTTAATTTTCAAAAAGTAAAATACGAGGACACACATTCGCTTTTAAAAGTTTTTTGTAAGCAATGGCTTTATTCTTTATAAAAATGCGATATGCAGTGAATTCATGTTAAAATAATCACTCGAAAACCATAATTTTGGAATAAAAACAGGAATAATTGCAAATGTCACTTTGTAAATCTTTTATTCAAAAATATTTAATAAATATAGTAGATACAACATAGATTTAAACCACAAAGGTTCGCACAGAAAGCAACTTCGTCCTAAAAGAAAATAAAGAATAAATGTTACATTCAAATGTAGGAAAAATAATATTATGGCACTAAGTGCCCACCATACAATAAGATTCGAGGAGCTCGTGTTTAACGGGATTTTTTAAAGATTCATAACGCAGATCAAAAGATCGTTTGAAAAGTTACTTCTCTAGACTAACACCTCTTGTTTAAATGTATTTTTTACCGAACTATACACAACAAAATATTTTTTTTGTATTGTTTACAAACTTTTCGGCCGTCACGAACAGCTGTGGGTTTCGTTTTTACGAAGTTCCACAGAAATTCCACATGGAAAATTGACTAAATGTTATTAAATGTGCGATGAATATGTTAATTAAAATTCCCAAATGCCTAAGTAAATGCGCCTTTGCTTCATTTTAATAAAAATTGGATTTGAATGAAAAAGACCACCATTTGGTGGTTAAAAAAGACGCCGATATGGGCAAATGACCACCAAACGGGGGTTAAATGACCATTTGGCGGTGTGTGCCCAACCTGATAATGTGAAAAATGTGTTCAGTTTACTCCTGTGAAGAGCTCATTGCCCACCATGACAGTTTACATCTCATTTAATTCTCGCAGTAAATGTGAAGAAAGAAAAAATAGTGTCAAGAGAAATAATTAAATTTTGCTCTAAGGAAATTAATGTTATTTGCATTAAACACGAAAGCAGAATGTTTTACAATTATTAATTTTGAAAGTGAAAACGAAAGTCGGTACCGGATGTGAGCTAAGAGTAAACAAATAGCGCGGGAAGTAAATAAAAAAAAAAATCAATACAATGGCGACAGACTCCATGTATTTAGAAAACTTAGAAGAATACGTTAATGACGAGGGAAAAATAGTGAGTCTTTTTATTACAATGTATTTCATGCTTAATATCCTTTTAATGATAGGCGAATTCGCTGGATAGCACATCTGATGTACGAAATTTTATTTCCTTATATGTCAAAATGAAAGTAGAGTATTTGGTAATTTTTGATGAACTGCAGAAGACGGTTTTGTGCTTGAAAACTTAAATGCTTAAATTTTTATTTTGCTTATAGGTGACATACAAATGGCTCAGTCTGAATCTACATGTTCATGTGAATGAGGCGAAACAGTATGTACACTATTTCTGTTCAGTGAATGTGAGGTATTGAGTAATAATTTGTATTTATAAGTCTAAGTTTTGAGGGAAGAAGTGATATATTTTCCTTCTACAGGATGTTGTACACGTTTGTGGAGAAGCAAAGAAAGAAGAAAGAAAATGTGACGGCCACTTACTTTGTGTCAGGTCTCTCTAAACCCAGGGATGGAATTCAGGTAAAGATTGATCAGTGTCTCTATGCTGTAGTATCTAACACACAGCTTAGACTAGTGGGTTAACCCTTTAGCTCAATTGGTAGAGCACTAGACTGGCAAGCCAGAGGTCCCATGTTCAATCCCCAGGGGAGGCAGTTACATGTCTGTTACATCTGGTGCCCATTTTTTGGAGCCAAGTGTTCCCTGGCGGGTGAGAGTGATTGCTCCCAGAACTGTTCCCAACAGATGTCAGCAATCCAAAAGAGAGGACATCTTCTCTAGAAGGAGACAATGTTGTAGTGTATGATACAGGGCTTCCTTCAAGTTTAACATTGACACACAAACTAACAACTCCAACGCTGTTCACCTGGTAGTGAGGGAAAATTACCTTCTGATGTTAAGCTTATATGAAAATATGTCTGATTTAATTTAATAATTCTTCTTCCATCTATCAGTATTTTGTTTGGTGTCCAGTCACTTCGTACACAAATCGAGTCGTACACAAACCAAATCGTATACAAAAAGTCAACTCATACACAAAAACCAGAAGTCAACTCGTACACATCTTTTATATTACAATCGTTATGATTTAATTTTATACAGATAATGTTTGATAACACAAAGTGTTACTTTTCCTTAAGTTTTTTCCCTAAATATTTAAATTATTCAACTTCCCTGATAGGAACATCATACATGTTAACTCTACCGATTTAGGCGGGAGTCTACCGCTTTTTCACCCCATCTCCCGCCTACCGATTTAATTCAGAAATCTACCGCTTTTCTACAAAAGTTGCGTCTAGAGTATTTTTGGTTCGCTTGGGTATCCATTTTTTAAGGCACTCTCGTAAAATCTCGTTAGATATCGTGTGATTTGACCCAGTTTGACTCAGAAGCATACAAACGCTTTTTTTGAATCGATGTGTACATAGATTTCAAGCACGAATTTGACAACGACAACAGCACAAGATTTCCAGTGATTACATTGGTTACGATAAATTTAGTCAACATCACTGCCATGAAAAAGGAGATACAGCTTTAAATAATTAGATGAAAACGTTTGGCATCGTCCATAAAAGCACAGGAGCTCACAATTTTATCAATAAAGTCAAGAGGAATCACTAGATTGACCAAGCCATGTGGCACATCTCTACTTTCGTTTTCGAGCATCGCGGGAAATCTGATTTATATAACGAAAGATAGGAACTTGTTTTAGATCTAATTTAAACCATGTCATCATTTGTTTTATTTAACAACTGAATGAACATTCAGAATTATTGCTTCTAGGCTATATTGGCAAAGAATTAGCACTCTTCAAAAGGCTAAGTTAAATTAACAGCCAATCCAAGCAAAATGAGGAGCATGAAAAATATTTGAATTTGTACAATTTATGTCAAACTTGAGGTATTTCTGTCTCCTTCTTTGCAGTTAATATTTAAGATTAATTATTGTAGGTTTCATTTAAGGCTATATACATGAATATATTACATTAAATATGTCGGTAATCCAAGCGTAAAACAAAGCACGCGCAATGCTACCGCTTTTGAGGTCTGAATCTCCCTATTTTTCATCACAATAGGTTAACATGTATGGGAACATCAAAGAAGTATTGTTAAACCAACACACGCGCGGTGGTTTCTTGAATCTGCGACAAACGCTAATTCAGTATCCTTTAATTATGAGATAGTATCGAAAACGTCTCAAAGTTTCTTCATTCCTTATACTTCACCATGGTTCTAGAGAGTTGTCTTTCCTGCAGCGGTAAGTTTCTAAAACTTTTTTTATTTAAATAAGTTTAGATAAGTGTAAGAAAAATGTGTTATACAGTATACCATTAAATTCTTACCATGTATTTAGATCGCATTTACTATCTACACTATATATCTATTTAACATAATAAATTAGGATGCTATAAAATATTATTTTTTACATCAACATGCATTACTTGCATAACAGAAAACTTTTTTAGAAATATAAAATCTACGTATTTATAACAATTTTGTAGAAATCCATTTGGATTAAGTTTTTCAACTACATATTTAACAAATAAAATATTTAAATTTACAATATAAGAATTATTTAAGATAATTACGTTTATTTAAGAATTAATTTAAGAATTAAGAATGAATTTGACAATCCTGATTTAGTTAATTCAAAACACATTTGTGTACGAGTTGACTTCTCAATTATTTGAAAACTGTGGCAAATATTACATGTACCTTAAATCACATAGGAAAACCTATGTATGAGTTGTGTACGAGTTGACTTCTGGTTTGTGTACCAGTTGACTTTTTTGTGTGTACGAGTTGACTTTCTGTATACGAGTTGGTTTGTATACGACTCTGTTTGTGTACGAAGTGACTGTAAATCTTTTGTTTCAGTATTGTGTCATTGTAATAAAAGATATTGTGTCTGTTGAATTCGTACAAGCTGCTATTCCCTGTTAAGTTGTAGTGTAATTTTATTAAAACGTTTCATATAATTAGGCTTTACATCAAGATGTTCCCAACTCTAAATAAGTTTGGGGAAAGAATGCCATGGTTCTTTAAAACTGAATAATTTGTGAAATGTTTTCGAAATTCTACTCCATAACATTTCATTTGAATTCAGTAAAACTGAGTTTAGAAGTTATTTACTTTTAGACACATATTAATTTATAGTTACTGTTAATTGATATTTGGAAAAGAAGAATGGTCAAAATGATTACTATAATATGAATTATTCTTTAATTTAAATATATTAAATTGATACTCCGCTTACAAATTTTGCCTTATTTTGGCAAAACTTTGAATCCGATTGGAGCATTTCCGTCACAATCTTGTGTAAGAGAGTTTTTTTATTGTAGTTATACACTTGTACTGTTGTACCAGAGGAAGATCTGGAGTCATATAAAGACTCACTCTCCATGATCCACAGTGTCCATGTATACAGTGTACAGAAAGCCAGTCTAAAGGTCTGTTCACATCAGTGTATCATTTAATTTATGTTTGAAAATGTATCACAAATTGAATCTTTAGAAGAACTGGGTGCTTGCAAATGGAGTGTTTGATTAAAACAATTCTTTTGCAGGATTCTAATTCACTCTACACAGCAGACTACGACAGTGTCAAAGAAAATCTGTTTGATATTCACAAGTAAGTGATATGACTTTTTGGCATTTCTTTAAAATATACTGTAGAAGCACAAATTTTCGTGGGGATAAAATTTTGTTGTTTTGTCATCTAGAATAGTTTCGTGGGGATTTAATTTCGTTGTTTTGAAAGTAACCCTATTCAATATATAGTCATATAAAAATTCGTGTAGGATTTAATTTCGTTGATTTTTGTTAACAACGAAATAAACGAAATTTAATCCCCAACGAACATTTGTGCTTTTACAGTACATAAGAAATATCTACAAATTAAAGCATACTTTTTGCTCTTTTATGTTTTTATCCTTGAGACTAATGTTTTTTTTTAGGTATAGTTCTATAAAGTATGACAAAGCCAAGCCAACTTCAGATGTGAAGAGACCTCAAGCAAAGTCTGTGAAAGAAGAACCAAAAGTAAGTGTAGTTTAAATACTTTTTGTATTTATGTATCTATTCTTATTCATATATATAATTTACTGTAGATCACTTAATTATGATGACACCTTTCTTTCGCAAGATTATCATTTACCCTTTATTAGCAAGACAAAAAATTCACGAATTTTGGTTATTGCAGTATATAATCTTTCGGAATACTATTATACACTGTCATATAATTACGTGAGAATAAAGTTCTCGCAAATAATATGTTATTTACAGTAGCTGTGAGTGGGCAACTAAAACAAAGTGACATTTTCACCCATTGTTTTGGCCTTTTTGTCAGTGCACTGTGGGTAAATTCAAAATGAGGCGAATTTTAGAGAGAGAAAATTGTATCTTTTATAATTGAACTACATCTTAGCAAATTTAAAATGATAAATAGTTTGCAAATGTTATAGGATAGGGCCAAAATAACATAATGTCACGTTTATCAAATAACAATCATAACATAGCCCCAAAAATTAACCTACAGTAATGTAATTGTCAGGTAAATCAGGCCAATGGCTCCACCACCACCACAGCTAATGGTCACCCAACAAAATCCAAAAAAGATGCCAAGAAAGCAGGTATTGCAGGCATGTTTGCCAATGCCTCCAAGAAAACGGAGGACAGTTCCTCAAAAAACACAGAGGACAAGAAAACTGAGGACCACAAACTTGAAACTGAGGGGCTCTCAGCGGGGCCGAAACAGGACAAAAAATCACAGAAGGTACGTCTTCATTTATTACTTTGTTCTTCCTGAACATTATTGTTAAGCAGAAAGAAGAGCATCTTTATATCTTTTAGATTACAGACTTACCATTACTAATTCTGTCGTAATATTACAGGAGACCAAGAAGGGAGGTGTTATGAATTTCTTTGCCAATCACACAGGTAAGTTTTAATAGACACAGGTATGTTTTAATAGACACAGGTATGTTTTAATAGACACAGGTATGTTTTAATAGACACAGGTATGTTTTAATAGACACAGGTATGTTTTAATAGACACAGGTATGTTTTAATAGACACATGATATGTCAGGTGAAAGACAAAATTTTTAAGATGAGGGAAATCCTCACTGTTTAACATCTAGTACACAGATTGTTTATGTAATATAGGTAAGAAAGGTGCCCCAAAAAGTGAAGAAATCCAGAAAGAAGACAAACAAAAAGAGGAGAAGAAAAAAGATTCGCAACCCAAACAGTGAGCAGTATATACTCAATATCTAAAGATGATAAAAACACTCTGCTTATAAAATTCTATGCTTAAGTATTCATAAAACAAGGATTGGAATTAATAAGAATAACTGCATTCCAAATTATATACATGTATAATATTTATTGATATATTCATTGAAATTTTACTAGGATTAAAACAAGTGTAATGATAAGATACAGTCATATAAATACCAGCATGTGTATAGAAAATTGAAACTTTGAGGAAAGAACTGTGCATTCTTCAAATACTTCATTAAATGTTTCATTTAGAAATGGTAAAGGGAAGAGGTCAAAAAAGACCAGAGATGCAGACTCAGGTAACCCAAGAAACTACTTAAAGGCTTAAATGATTGATAATATGTATGTATCCAAAAAAACTTGAATACTTTGAACTTTGATGTTTTTTTTTATTTTTTTGTTGTATATGATGATGTTTTATTTTGTAATACATGTAACTAGTTATTTATTTAAAGATGAAGAGGGTGGCAGGAAGAAGAGAAGAAGAATAAGAATGGAGATGTCTGACAGCAGTGAAGAAGGTAGGGTTCTCAATAGAGATGTCTGACAGCAGTGAAGAAGGTAGGGTTCTCAATAGAGATGTCTGACAGCAGTGAAGAAGGTAGGGTTCTCAATAGAGATGTCTGACAGCAGTGAAGAAGGTAGGGTTCTCAATGCATTTAAATTATAATGATTAAATTTTTTTTTTAGAAGAGGGTAGAATATAATTGTAAAACATGTTTCTAGCAAACAAACCTTATAATATATTGAAGCTTATAGCAAAGTGATTTTAATTCCCCATGACTTTAAAATATATTGAATCTAATGAGTTACAAAGCTTTGCACTTTATTATAAGGGTGTTTCACTGTAGTTTGCATATAAAAAGAAATTCTGAAATTATTTACATGAGGAAAGAATAGCATAGAAGTAAAGAAAAAAAATCAGCTTCTTGTATATAAATATGATGCTTCTTGTATATAAATATGATGGCCTTTGATCAAGTTGTAGTTATAACAGTATTTTTTCTGTTAACAATTAAACCTTGAGATTTTCTGTTAAAGAGATGGACTATGAGAGCCCTGCCCCCAGTCCTGTTCCCAGCCCCCCGAGGGACCCCTCTCCTGTCCCTAACACTCCCGAGAAAGAGAGTCCCAAAAAGGAGGAAGAAACTGTAAAACCCACACAGAACGGAGAAAGGCACAGAGTAAGAAGGCGGAAGTTGGTCCCCAAAACATTCATGGATGATGACGGTTTCATGGGTGGGTGTTCTTGGATTTTAGTGATTTTTTTTGAAAATTTTGTTTTTGTAATTTCTAAAATATTTATTGTATTAACAAAGTATAATTAAAACCTATTTAAGAAGTATTTCAGACAGTATTTCCTGTGTAATACATATAAGTTTTGAGTACAGTGTAAGTTGTCTATCTTCCAGTGACAGAGAAAGTCTGGGAGAGTGAATCAACAGACGCCTCAGATACAGAGCCCCCTCCCCCAGTAAAGGAAACGCCCAAAGCCGCCTCCCCACAGGTGGGAATAGTTCTTAGATATATTGAAGAATCCTTATATAAACAAGTACTTAATATTGCAGAATAACTTGAAAATCACTGAATGACAGAATTAAAGACCAGAAGCGGGAGGTAGCGTTTGATGTAGTTTTTACATGAATATCAGCAGTACAAGAATTAAAGGAAAATCAAGTGATGACAAATACTTCGTATACATGTATATATTTGACAATCTTTTGTATTTCTTGGAGAAGTAACATTACAGTACTTGTATTTTCAGTAGATGTGCTAAGATTTTATGATATTTATGCCGACATTTCATGAAAATGCACTTCGTTTGATATGTATTGTTTTATAATTGTAGAAGAAAAAGGCCTCACCAAAGAAAAAGTCTCCCCCCTCTGCAGCCAGTAGGAAGCAGATGTCGATATCGTCCTTCTTTGTGAAGAAATAGACAAACAGTTGTGCTGTTTAAAGTTATTATAGTGCTGTTTTCCCCTAGTATTTTCTCGTAATATGTATTTATTGACTTGACTGTGAGATAGATACACTTATAAAAATATGAAATAAAGTGTTTATCATGAGTTTTTTTAAATATTCCTTTAATTGATGCCTTGTGTGTCATGTCTATTCATCTGTTACCTACAATTACCCAAGTATGTTAATTAAAATATAGAATGCAGCAGTTTTTGTAAAACACTGATTGTCCTGCATGGCAACATGGCGAAGGTTAAATTTTCTCAAATGCAAATCAAATATGTTGGTGCCCAAAGTAAGGCCTTCTTGAAAGAAATACAAATGTGAAATATCAGACCCTAGCACCACCTGCTCGAAAATTATGGCCAAGGTTAACTATTTTAAAGGTAGGTCAAACGCTTAAGTCAAGGTCAAAGGGTTAAGGTTGTAGGTATCCAATGAAGGCCTTGTTACAAGGAGTACATACATGAAGTATGAAAGCCCTAGCCCTAAACATTGAAAAAAATATGGCTAAGGTTAAAGTTTTTAAAAAGTAAGTCAACTCCAAGGTCAAGGCTAAAGGGTCAAAGTTGTTTGTATCCGATGAACGGTCTTGTCACAAGGATTACATTTGTGAAGTATAAAAGCCCTAGCTCTTACCGTTCAAAATTTTTAAAAAGTAGGTCAAAGGTGTTGGTACCCAACGAAAGGTCTTGTTTCAAATAATACATATTTGAAAGTCCTAGCACCAACCGTTCAAAAGTTGTGGCCAAAGTAAAAGTTTGGAATTTTGGTGTAAAAGTGTGTCAAACTCCAAGGTCAAAAGGTCAAATTTGATAGTACCCAAAGAAAGGTCTTGTCACAAGAAATACACCTGTGAAATATGAAAGCCATAGCCAGTGAAATGTTATGGACAAGGTTAAAGTTTTGCGGACAAACAGCTAGACGGACAGGGCAAAAATTATATACCCCCGAAATTTCGTTTAGGGGGGCATAAAAAGGGGAGGGGTATTACATTCGTAATGTTTAAAACTGTCCAATTTTTCATATAAATTTTCCAATTCAAGCCCTTTAAGTGTTCTTAATTTTAACAATGATTTTTTTTATTGTCCAATTTTGTCAAAAAGTGCTGGACAGTCTTTTACATAATCTAGAGGTACGATGAGCATTGAGCTCACTCAATGATAACCCCCTCTATCCCCCTCCTGCCTCCCATATGCTAATGGTAATGTCCCTGATCTGCATGGGAAACCCAAAATAAGTGTCCTATGTAGAAGTAAAATAGTTCACAATGCCATTATGTAATAAAGAATCTGTGAGAGAATCATCAAATTTTATTCAGTGGTATAGGAGGTGTTGGGAGTACGAGATGGGTACCCTTTAGTATTATAGACAGAATGGCATGTTTTGCTGTGAGAAACACGAAATACGTGTCGCTTCATAAAGTAACAATAATGAGGTCATAATTTGGCACTATGTAACGAAGATTCTGTGAAATTTATATTATAATAAAGCAGTCAGGGGCATGTAGCGAATATGGCAGGGTTAACTCCAGTGCTGATATTATATAGATAGTATCTTTCTTACAAAATACATGTATTTTCTATTTATCAAAAAATTATGTCAGAAAGACAATAGTACAATCTTATAATGTGGCATACGGTATATGCCTTTAAATTTACGAGTCATGTTAAGCTTTAAAAGATAACATTCGTTGTTGAGCTATATGTAAAATCTTTGACAGGGTAAAAATAATCATTTTCATTATATGACTGAATAATTTCCATCTATCTGATTGGCTGAGATCCAACTATGTTAGAAAAATACTACGTTGTATTGACCTGCACGTGACGTTCCAGGTCAATACAGGGATTTATTTCCTCTACATTGATCTAAAAATAGATTGGGAAATTCCAAAATGATACAAATTGTTTTGGAAAGCTATTTAATTAAACGACTATGATTTTTTTCATGTGAACAAAACATAAGCAAATATATATTTTTGGGTGAGGGTGATAAGAGGGGATGCAGGGACACCCCTCCAACACTTTTACTGAACAACAATTTTTTTACTTTTTGGCAGTCAGTTTTCCCTGATAATACTCCTTCCTTTCAAAATCTATCCTATAAAAAGAATGACATAATATTTTTTTCATGGCAACTAAAACTGATTTAAAAAACTTCAAATTGATACGACTGGTAAGAATTATTTACATTTTAAAGCCATATATATGGCGTAACTGATCAAAAAAATATATTTTTGAAAAATATAAAATTAAGTAAAGAAATATAGTTGATACATTTAAATTAAAGCTTTTCATACAATTCTGAACACGGAGAACACCTCGTTTCATCTAAAAATACGATTTTATCTTCTCTGTAATGTGTTATTTAAATCTTTTGTATTTTCTTCCGAGTCGGAGAAAATTCCGAGAATTCAAATTAAATTGTGATATCTTTATAACGCAATTGATTTAAATTTTGTAATTTACGGAAAAGTTCTATCTTTATATAAAGGAATGATACATACAATAAGTTCTTATAATTTTAGTCCAATAATTTTCATTGTACATACGCCATATATATGGCTTTAATTCTGCTTCTCTTTTATATTTGGCTCGGACTTAATTAAATGCAAACAAGTAATGGGCTTTAATCATTTTATCAGTGAAGTACAGTTCGAAGTACAATATTCACCTCGCCCTTCGGGTTCGGTGAATATTGTACTCCTCAGATGGCTAAATCATTGTATTGACCTAAAAAAACAGCAATAATTGTATAATATTGAGTTCGAGGGCAACATGCTCTTTGTCGGACCCAAGAGCCAAACTGTTTGCCTGAGGCCGACAGCAGACAGTTTGTTTCTAAGGTCGACAAGATGCATTTTGCCCGAGAACACAGTCAATAAATATTTTGTAATACCTTCATTTTTAATATTTTTTTATAGTCTTGTACTGATTTCCTTGATGTGACCTCAGGTACGTTACTGTTGAACACCAAAAAATACAAATGAGATTAAGCTCCGCCTTTTGTATTACTTAAGAGGTCCATCTTATCGACATATCCAACATCTCGCTCAGCTGTCAAACATCGATTTCTGTATGCCCGCTTGGTATAAAACATTTGAAATGATAGACTTCTATGTGGTTTTTGGAGACCGGGTATTCCAACAGTCTATTGGAATTCTCATGGGTACAAATTGCGCTCCGTTATTAGCAGACTTATTTTTATATTCATATGAAGCAGAATTTATGCAAAATCTTATGCGTGAAAAGAAGGAAACACTTGCTGTGGCCTTCAACTCGACATTTAGATATATCGACGACGTATTGTCAATTAATAATGGTAATTTCCATTCCTACGTCGATACGATATATCCTGTTGAGCTTGAGATCAAAGATACCACAGAGTCCGACACTTCTGTTTCATACTTGGATATTTTACTTGAAAAAGACACTAATGGTAATCTAACAACCAAGCTATATGATAAACGTGATGACTTTAACTTTTCTATCGTCAACTTCCCTTACTTATGCAGCAATATACCATCATCACCTGCATACGGAGTATATATATCTCAGTTGATTCGATACGCAAGAGCATGCTCTATGTATGAACAATTTCTAAAACGAGGTAAATTATTGACAAGCAAGTTGACGAAACAAGAATATCAGCAGTCTCGTTTAAAGTCATCATTTCTTAAGTTCTATGGTCGATACAATGACCTTGTCAGCAAATACAGTTTATCATTGAGTCAAATGCTGACTGACGTTTCTCATACCAATTGTTAGTCCATTATTTATACACTGAATTGACGACGGATTTTTTCCGTTATTTCCTGATCATGACAAGGAGCACACGGCGGGTGTGACCGGTCGGCAGAGGATGCTCACTCCTCCATGTCCCATCTCTGATGTTTCGGAGGTCCGTGTTTGCTCTGCTTTAATTTTGTATTGTTTTATGGACTTTGAGATTGAATACTGTTCGTTATCTCCATATCCTTCTCGTATAGATATGTATCGAACAAAGGTATAACAATGCACTTTGCCTTGCGTTAATTTCTAACTTGGCTTTATTCAAAATTACGTAACACGTACCCATTTAAAAATTTCCGGGACGAACAAAGAATCGCTCCGATCGTCATGCATCGGAGCACTTTTACACTATATGCAGGCAATACAAGATAGAGGGCAATTCTGGAACGACTTTACCGACACTGTAACATGTCGGTTACGGTGATTCAGTTCTGTAAGTATTGTGATGTATGTGACAACTGGGCACAATATTTTTGTAAAGATTGCCAGTTAATTCTATGTGAACAATGTGTTCTTAAGCATTTAAACTTCTATCGGTGCCATGGTCATGATGTGGTGAGATATCGGGACAAAACGACGAACAATTCCAGCATTCCCATGTGTTCTTTACATTCGTTAAAAGCCGAATTTTTCTGTAAAACTTGCGATGTTTATGCATGTCAAAAAAGCTTTGTTCTTCACAAATTTCATCAAATTGTGGACTTTAGAGAAAAAATTGATAGACTTTTTGCTAATGGAGTATTGCTACGGGGTAAAGTTATACCAATGATCGACAATCTTTTGAAGAAAGAAAATGACTTTTTAATGCGGAACTGTATGGTATTTGAAAAAATGAGATCTGAATTAGAAAAAAGGCTTACCACTTGTCCGACTTTAATCGTGAAGTGCAAGAGAAATGGAGATTCGACGACGGTGAAGGGCATAGGGGGTAAAGATTTAATGGCACTAATGCTTAAAAAGGCAATTGAAGATTGGAAAATATTTCATATTCAAAAAATACGCTTGGAGAATTGCCGACGTTTTGTTTGCGATACTTTAGAAGAATTAAAAGAAAATCTATGTAATCCAATTTCTCTGAGAGATTTACACTCTCCATTTTTGCATGATTTGCAAAGTGCTCTTGAACTAAAAGTAATATTTCCTCAAATTCCAGTTTTTCAAATCGAGCACTCCAAAGATACAGATAATGAAGTCATGCTGACGTACAGTCGGAAACGTCATCAATCAGTCTACGTCTGAATT